CAGGCTCCTCTCCTGTGGAACCAACTACCAGTTTTAGTCCGTGAGGCAGACACCCTGTCTACTTTAAAGGCTTAAAACTTTCCTTTTTGATAAAGCTTATAGTTAGGGTGGCTCAGGTTATCCTGAGCTATATCTATAGTTATGCTGCTATAGGCTTAGACTTTTGGAGGACATAGGGACCCCCATTTCATCATTCTGCTTCATTCTCTCTCTGTTCTCCTATTCTGCAGAATCTGTTAGTCTAACCTTCTGCTAAATCTAACCTTCTGCTCTCTCTGCTTTTCCTCAGAGTAGCTTTGCCTCGTCTGTTCCTGTTTGGCTGTGACGTCATCCTGGAAAGAAACATCAGCTGTGCTGCTTCCATCAACACCCTTGTTTATAGATGTTGGAGATCGGCCTGTTTTCCAGTGTGGTCCTGTTTCTCTGACCATGACTGAGTGGATGTGCTCTCTTCGTCCTCTGGCATGGGAGCTGCCTTGGAGCTCGTCTGCCTGGCTGTGTGTTTCCTGGACGGGCCGCCTTTTACAGCTGCTTTTTGTATCTCTGCTTCTGTCTCCTTGAACCCCAGTCGGCCTCGGCAGATGGCCGCTCACACTGAGCCTGGTTCTGCTGGAGGTTTCTTCCTGTTAAAAGGGAGTTTTTCCTCTCCACTGTCGCTACAAGCATGCTTAGTGTGGGGGATTGTATTTGAGTCAATGAGTCAATGCAATCAACTGGTTTTCCTTAGATAGAAAACTTTGTATCGGATTTGACTGTATGATCTGGTTGAACTGTAAAGTGCCTTGAGATGACATGTGTTGTGAATTTGGCGCTATATAAATAAACTGAATTGAATTGAATTAAAGAACACCTGTTAGAGGCTGCAGAGGTCTGGTACCAGGCCAGAGGTTTACCTTCCAGCTGGACAACAATCATTAACAGCCAGAACTACAAGGAAAGGATTGATTCAGATCATTTATATAGAGCCAATTCAAAACTAACATAATCACAATTCAATTAAGTCCTACCGTCAGATCGATTAAAAGCTTTCTAAGGAAACCCAGCCGATTATATCCAGTCATTTGCTGAGTTCAATTCAGTTTATTTCTACTATTTTCTTTATTTGCATCCATAGTGAACCATGCACTGTAAATAATGTTGACCATATAGATGAAATCCTGCCTTATGAGGTTCATAAAGCCATTTCCAAATTATCTAACAATAAAGCCACTGGGCTGGTTGGAGTCTCAGCTGAACATTTAAAGTATGCAAATGCAAGGCTAGCTCCTCTACTTTCCATTTGTTTCACATCGTTTTTTATTCATGGTCTTTTACCTGACTCTATTTTAAGTGTCCTGTTAGTACCCCTCATTAAAGATAAAACTGGAAACATTGGCAATTCTGATAATTACCGTCCGATAGCGCTGGCCAGCATAGTTTCAAAAATTATTGAATCAATCCTGCTGGACAGGATTTTAGAGGTTATCAAGTCTACCGATAACCAGTTTTGTTTTAAGGCTAGGCTGGGCACAGATATGTGTAAATATGCTCTAAAAGAGATTACTTATAAATATAATAAGCAGAACTCTTCAGTGTTTATGTGTTTCCTGGATGCATCAAAAGCATTTGATAGGGTAAACCACAGAAAACTGTTCACAAAACTGACACAAAAAGGAGTACCAGAGTATATTGTTCGTATTTTGAAGTACTGGTATACTCAGCAAACACTGCAGATTAAATGGGGGGAATGTATATCGGCTCCATTCAAAGTTAGTAATGGGGTGAGGCAGGGCGGGATTTTGTCCCCAGTTCTCTTTAACTTGTATCTGGATGAACTGTCACACAAGTTGAGAGCTTGTCACACTGGTTGTGTGGCTGGTGACTCGGTACTTAATCACCTGATGTATGCGGATGATTTAGTAATATTTAGCCCTAGTACTGCAGGGTTACAGCAACTACTAAACATCTGCTCTGAGTATGGTCTGGAACACGACATAAAGTACAATCCATCTAAAAGTGTGATCATGATCTGTAGGAGTAAGGAAGATAAATCTACTGAGTTTCCAGAGTTTTTGCTGTCAAATACTGTGCTGGCTGTAACAAATAAAACCAAGTATCTTGGGCACATCATCACAGAAAATCTGTCAGACGATGATGACATTTGCAGACAATGTAGATGTTGTATGCTCAAGCTAATACCCTTGCACGTAAATTCGGTTCATGTACTGATATAGTCAAAGTGGAACTGTTTAATGCATATTGTACCTCTCTGTACACTGCTCACCTGTGGACTACCTATAGAAAAGTCAACCTGCAAAGGCTGCAGGTGGCCTATAATGATGCTATGCGGTTACTTTTGAAACGTCCAAGATGGTCCAGTGCAAGTGAGATGTTTGTCACAGCAATAGTTAATACCCTACAAGCTGTTCTACGAAAGTTAATGTATAAGTTTATTTGTAGGTTAAATGCATCTGAAAACGATATTATTTTGTCACTCACTGATACCACACGTAGTGCAATCCGATATCAGTCTAAGGTGTGGAGACACTGGTATTCCTGTCTTCTTAAAGATCCTATTTAATCGATAATGGTACTTGTATTGTGTTTTTATCATTAACTATTTTTATTTTATTTTTATGTATGTATTTATTGGACCATTTGTCCAGAATAAAGTTTATCTATCTATCTATAGTGCCAATTCACAACACATGTCATCTCAGGGCACTTTACAGTTCACCAGATCATACAGTCAAATTGATTCAAAGTTCAGAGTTGGCCTGCTGAGGCCGACTGGGGTTCAAGGAGACTTAAGCAGACATAAAAAAGTAACAGAGAAGCACTGATCCCTAAATACGTTCTATGAGAAGGAAATGGTAAACTAGCTCCATTGGTTACTCTTTCAAGGAAAGAAACAGTTAAGCCGATGAGCTATGAGCTGGTTTACATGTCAAAGGAAGAAAGAGAACAGAAAGAGAGCACATACACTTAGTTGCATCAATAATTGAAACCATAATTATGTCTGGAAGATAAACAAGACTAATCTCTCAAAAAACATGCCCAACACCCTTATCTATAATTGAAGTTGTTTATAGCAGCAGCTCAGCTTATGTCTCCGTCGAGGGTGGTGCCACAGCTTAACCGAACCAGACCAGATGAAGATACTATGATGAGAAAAAGCAGAGAGGACATAAAGTTAGAAGTTAAACTAACAAATACTGCAAAATTGGAAATTAGAAATAGATTGAAGCAGAACAATGAAAAGTGGTTCCTTTGTCCTGCAGCAGTCTAAGCCTATAGCAGCATAACTCTAGAGATAAATCAGGATAACCTGAGACACTCTTAACTTTAAGCTTTATTAAAAAAGGCAAGTTGGAGGAAAGGTCAACTTCAACGATTCGCTATAGGGTCCTTATTGTTCACTGGAGTTTAGACCTCTCCCATTTTGTGTATGAGCCAAGCCAGTGATGAATGTCAACACTCTGTAGTGTAAGGTGAGAAGGTTGTAAGTACCTGGCTCGATCCCCACAGACTACCACTCTGGATCTCTGAGCAAGACCCTTAACCCCACACTGCTCACTGGACGCTGCACGGTGGCAGCCCACTGCTCCCCAAGGGGATGGGTTAAATGCAAAGGTGAATTTCTCCCGTGTGAGATTAATAAAGTTATAAACCAAGCTTGAGCATATCTTCAACACAAAAGAAGATCAAGTATTCATTGTCTAGATGTGCAAACACTGATAAAAAAATACACCCCAAACACTTGCAGCTGCAAGTATTGACTCACTGAGGCTGCCTATAAATGCATGACAATCTTCCAATTTTTAGCTGTACAACCTTTAAAATTTTGAATCTTCCCCTCCATTTCATTACCACCTACATTTGTCAGTTTATCATAAAATAAGAAATACAAGTTGTATGGTTTGTAATATTTTCCCAAGACACCAAATAAAGACAGACCACAAATAATAAACAGAGAGGACTATATGAGAGAAATGTCCTTTGATGAATTCAAATTTAAAAATCTTAGAATTTAAACATTAACTTGTGTGAAATATTACTTATCAGTAATGTCAGCTTGAAAACTCCTACATATATGAAAAGGTTAATTTTTTAAAAGCAACAGATGATTGCAAAAAATAAATATTTGAAACTTTTTTTTAACTGGTTAACATATGTTTTTATCTTATTGCTCATTGTTTGGAAGTTTTTATGTCCTCAATAAAAGTGAGGGCTCTCTCCACTTGGCTGGTGTCAACACAGCAAGGCACACGCTTGATGTGGTCAGAGCCCAGCTGTGGAGAGAGGCTCACTGCTGCATCTGATCTCAGTGTACTCAGCTGTAGAACAGACTCTGAAACCTCACAAAAGGAGGAGCTTTGAGTGTTTTCCAGATTGTATGTGTGTGGTTTTGGGCTTTACAGAGATTTACAACACTGCACGTTAGAGTTAACACGCCTGCCTGGGCTTATTGTTTCGGGGAGCCAGACATCACTATCTTTGAAGCTATTAGATAAATCATAACCTAGAATTATTTCTATTTTTTTAATCATTCAAAACCAAATTAATGGCAGACAAAAGCCCATTCCTATGGGTAAAAGCCAAATGTTGTATAAAGTGTGACTAAAACAAACAAGGAGAAATAAATACATAATATTTGTATAGTTTCCAAAATTCTGATTCTGTTTATCCGTTGCTTTCTGGATTTGAATTTAAGAAATGTTTAACATTCACAAAAGCAGCAAGGATGCAGCTTGGTTACAGTTTCAGCCACCAGCAGAGGGAGCTCTAAGTACTTCTTCACAGCCATACAAGTTTTTTTTTCATATATTTTTATTCTACATAAAAAAAACAATATAGCGATTCATCCGGTTATAAGTAGTCCAAAAGTCTTAATTTGACCTAATATAACTCAAAAATAAAGTAAACAAAGATTCAAACAAAGCCTATGATCACGTGGTAGATAACTCTTCATTTCTATTGGCTAGTTTGTATTTCTGACGAGTTCCAGTTCCGCTCAGGTCGTTAAACGAATGCAAAATAGTTCCTTAGAGTATTTTCGGATTTTTAAATATTATCAGTATTTTCGGCTAAGTCCGAGTTCAGAATTAAAATAATTTTTTTTAAGACTAAATATAACGTAATGACATGTTTTACAAGCTTTGTTAAAGAGCTTTATTTGATGCTCCGCGGAGGGATACACCAGCAGCGCCAAGCTGGAGTTTGGAGGGGGATTTGAATCTCTCCATGCCACAATCATTTTTTAAGAGAAACTATAGTTTTTTATTCGTATTTTACACATGTTTTAACCTCAATGGTCAAGGTAAGAGTTTTCATTGTCTGTGAGTTGTGTTCACCAGCTGCTATTGTCGTTAACCAACTAGTTTATATCGGGGGTCAAAACGGGTTTATTTCGCTTAAAGCGTTGCCATTTAGTTTTTTTATCAACTAGTTGAGAATCTGCCATAAACGGACGTCTTGCAGTGCCTTAAACCGTTTTAGTAGCTTGTTTTATTCTAATTTTATTTTATTTTTTTAGAAGTGTGTCTAAAGCTTTCCTAAAGAATGTATTATACTAAAACACTCCTCGTAGCTGCCATATTTATTAACCTGCTCCTTGTGGTGATTGGTCAACACAGATGGCTACAGACCAGGAAATCCCTGCAGTCCCAGTGGAGGAAGAAGCTCCATTAAACTTCTCTGAGCTCACACCTCACCAGTTTGGCATCTCTACTGAGAGTTTTATTCCAACCTCATCAAACAGGAAAGGTAAGCAGGCTCAACTAGACATTTATAAACACATTTCCATCACTAACTGGCTAAAACGTATATTGTGGAGATTTTTATTACATAAACTTTTGTTTTTGGGGGGAAAAGGCATAGTTTTGTGATGGAACAACTAAAAATAGCATATGCTGGTAAAGTTCAATGAAATGCATGGTTTTTAATCCGTTTTTGTTAATATGAATCTGAAAGGTTGGACTCCCTTTACTCTGAGCCTACAAAAAAAAGGACAAGCACAGGTTCTATATCAATATCCCAACCCTGGAAAGTCTGACCAAATAAATCGATTATAGCCTTAAAGTCGTAGGGAAATCATATTTAAATGTCAAATCATTCTGGCCTAAACATGTATATAAATGTACCTTATCAGACTATATTGTCCCAAAAAGTTATTTAAAAAAAATCAGTTAGTTATACGTCAGCTTGTACACCTAAATTAAGCCAATCATATATCATCAGTCATCTGTCAATCAGATTTCGGTCATAGCATCTTGATTCATATGTTGCAGATAATGTACGCAACGTCTGTGTCTTTGGTACGCGTAGAGCTAACAGATCTGGCAGCGATGCGAGGCAAGGGCTCAAACATGAAGGGCTGTAAACCTTCTACACCAAACCAAGCTTCTGCTGCCCTGGCGTCCTCTTCCACAACAACTTAGTCCCCACTTTCCTCCTCTAAATAAAAAATGTATGACAGAGGAGACTCATCCACGACCTCTGACACAAAACTCCTCCTCTTGTCCTCTTGCATGTTTCCGCTGTCCATAGCGTTCCTTGACAGTGTCGTTATTAAGAAACCTACTAGCACTAAGTAGCTAACTTGTAAGCAAGATGCTTCAAAGAAACCCGCCACAACCAAATTTGCTTGCGAACCCTTTGCCACAACAATCCCACCCTCTTGATAAACAACCAGTCATATTCACTTTATTCAGTCGTGTAAAGTCAAGCTCCGCTTGGGAGAATTCAAAAATACAGCTGCTTCCCTACGACTTTAATGCAAAAGAATGTGCGAGGAAGAAAACATTGTGTATAACCCTTAAAAAAAAACATCACTTTATTGAAACATGAAGGGGGCTGAATGATGCTATGGGGAGGCTTTTCCTCTACATAGAGAAGGAAGATAGAGTAAATACAGAGCAGTATTGAAAGGACGTCTGCTAGACTGCGAAGCAAAAGTTTCAGCATGACGATATTTACATAAAATCAAGGTGACAGTGGCATTAGACCAGGGGTAACCAATAAAAAATCAGCTGGGTCCGAAGACAGAAAATCAACAACCAGTAAAGGTCTGGAGACATTTTTAATAATAATCGGTTACTTTAAACAGAATTTAACACTAAAATAAAATTAGGTTTTTATGCAGCCATTTTATACATTTAATTTTTAAATAAAAAAAAAAAAAAAAAAAATTTCCCATCTTTAAAATCTAAAGTGGTTTTTAAAGTAAAGAGCAACAATCGTTCAGTTTGGTATATAGACAAATTCCTGATTCACATATTTTATAATAAACCTGAACTGACCGTTTTTTTTTTTTTTTTTTTTTAATGGCTTATAAAAAAGCTTTATGGCAAAATATTTATATATTATTTTTTCTTTTTAATATCTTTGGTATAATTACTGCTCTAAGTGGGTAGCTCTGTCAGCTTAAGGCTTGATTTAGTCTCTATACTAAATTTAACAATCGATTACTAAATTAGTTGATGATTATTTCAATAAATGATTAATCCGGATTAATCTGTTTATTTAAATAGAGCTTTGGGTCTGCTGTTAATTCTTTAAAGGAACTCAAAGAATATTATTCTGTACCATTGCACCATATAAAGACTGTTTTTGAATTACGAAAGCAAAGTGAAGCTAGGGGTTTATGGAGCCCATCTCTGTTAGAAAATCATGACTGTGACTGGCATATTAACAGCCCAGCTGACTGTTGTTTTATTTACATGCCATCAATGGATTGTTTGCACTTAGATGGGGACTAATGATAGTTAATATCATTAATCATAACCAGTTGGATAACCTCCAAACAAGGAAATGTAGGTGTTCATAAAATTGATATGCCAGTAATGAAATATTTCTGTTTGTTGTTGTGGAACAGTGATTCTGCTGTGTTCTTGATCACAGTATGGACCATTCATTTCTATAACCATTTTATTAGGTCCTCAGGAGATTGTCTCCAGTTATGAAAGACAATGATGTCCTTTTTAAACAAGCTTGGAGGAAAGATTCTTGAACTGATGCATAAAAGTTTGAGTTAAACAGTTTTTTTGTTGTTGTTGGGTCGGAGTGATTGAGATTATGATTGAATCTGCTCTCTCCTCTCCAGACAAGTCGCGCCTTGCTCAGATAAAAGCTCGGCGGAGATCCAGCGTGGGGGTCCGCGGCTCCCCGGAGACAAATTCCCTCATCCGTTTCAGGGCGCAACAGAGGATGAAGACCCCACCATCCTCACAATCCCTAGAGGTTGGTTAGATGTTTCGTGCGGTGTTAAACCTGACCCCCTGTGATCAATTTATTCCTATAATACCTTGTTCCCACTCATCTGTTCTGTGTGCCATCTTGGTAGGCAAGCAAAGATAACTGCATTTATCTAAACACAAAGTAAAAGTAAACTGATACTCTTGACCTGAGAACGATATTATACGTCCACAAAAATGTAGTTTGCATGCTTGATTGTATTCCTTGTGTCTCTTTACACTAAAAAGTTTGGATCACAGAAGTTTCACTGCGGTGCTTAGCTCTCCGAACTTGCCTTATCTTCACTGAGAAGTAGCAGGTCAGACAAATGCTGACCAAATGAAACAGCTGCATTCTGGGAAAACGTTGGTTTCAAATGAACCACAATATTATTGTTTATCGCAGTGATACCACCGACAATTTATCATTCAGCAGTTTTAATTCCGGCAGGCCTGTCATACAGTGACACAGTAACGTTATTACATTATTATGACGATGCACTGCTCATCGAGAAAGTACTTCTAGGATGGAGTTTTTATACTGAGATTTTAAATGTGACACATGAGCTGACCGAGATGTGCTGCTCAGTGTCTCAGCCATTCGAGAAGCAGAGGTGAGAGAAATCCAGAGACTTATTTTAAAGCTAGAAAACAAACTTATAGCTACTTTACGGGACATGAGAAATGCAGGAAAAGGTATGATCAACTATTAAGGCTGAAACATTCGTTTGGCTCAGAATGAGAGTAATTTCAGTAACGTTTACATACAATATCCTGTGAACAGGCGGCACACATCCAGTTAATCGGTGACGCTCTTTCACAAAAAAACAATACTTTTTTGTTTTTATTAGATTAGAAGTGAAATTAGAAGCAGCTTCTTAGCATTTCGAAGGCAGATCTTTGAGATCGATTTATTTTAAAGCCAGACTTTTTGGGATGAAGTGAAAACTGCGCTCTTCCAAACCATCTACATGGTTGGAACATCTCATATCCTACATGAGATAATGACTACAAGCTTTGGAATGAAATTAATAAATACTCCTCTGTAGTCACACCTACTCAGCTGTTTCTATAGTGATTCTGCCTACCAACATGGCGGTTAGCAACAGAGTGAATCCAGACCTGTAACCTCACATGGGAACGATGTATTGATCATTCGTTTATCTGTATAGAGAAAAGGTTCCGTCATTCATTGCAAAGGCCTGTTTGCACCTGATTCAGAGGAGCAATTTAGTGGCAAAGGAATGTAAATCTCAAGACTCATAATGTGATTTTAATGTTAGTTATTGTTACAAGATCAGAGTTAGGTTTCCTTTTTTAATTTAAAAACATGAATTAGCTTTGTTAATTACACTTTTGCAGGTTTTATCTTCATCTGTATTTATATTGTCTATAACTAGCACCTGCAGCTAACCAGCTAGCCTCATATACTTTTGAATATTCTATGGAGTGAGTTTTGCTCCATTATTGTTGCAAACAAAGAAAAAGTTTTGTAAATAAAAAATAAGTAAATAAAAAGCAGTCCAGGAACCAAAAATAACATGTTTTTTTTATTTTCTCAAAATGTTTATGTATTTTTCTTTTTCCATGTTTTCTTTTTTCAAATTTCTCCATATCTCAGAGTTTTACAAATTTCACATGTTTCATAAAGCCATTTTTCCAGATCCCATTCTCTTCACTTCTGTGGGGGAGGGAAGAGCAAAGATGCATTTCTATTGGTCTGGATGGACATTAGCAACACGTCTACTTTATTATTGGTGAGGTTTTGTATTGGGCTGGAAAATAAAGAAAATTTGGTCAGAAAAATGCAGTTTGAAAAGAACGCTCTTTGTATGCCTCAATCTGAAAAATGGAAATATAAAAAAATTAAACCCTAATTAGACAGCATTTAATCTCATTAACTTTTTATTATTAAGAAAGTTTAATTTCTAGATTACAAAATATTTCTTTGCTTACAGCAATAATGAAAGAAAATTCCCTCCATAAGATACTGCCATTGAGCAGCTAAACAGGAAGTGCTTTCTGTCACAGCGCCAAGGTTGCTTTATACTGGCCAATGAGAGACGAGAGGCGGGGTTGGACTGATGATGCTCCCTCACCTGCTCAGATGTGATAATGAATAAGGAGTAGTTTCATTTCTGTGCTGCAGGTTTGTAGCAAACATGAGTTCTGCTATGTGGTTGAGAGGAGAAGTAAATGATGCTGAAGAAGTGGTTAAAAAAGTTAAAATCAATATTTGGGACTTTTTTTCACGGTGAAAGCTCTGAGTCCTCTGATCTGCATGGGGTGAGTCACCCAATGAAGTGAGCAGTTTTTCTAATTATGCTTAACCTGTGTTACTCTAATGCTGCTATCTCTGAGGAAATGAAAATGTTCGAGCGGCTCTCTTTAGGCGCACCGTGAACCCCGGGGTTGTGTGTGGAACCGGCGTGTGATGGATGTGCTCTCCCTCACTAATACCACTTCGCTCATTTCAGAAGTTTATGAGCTGCCAAGCTCCATCTCTAAGTAGATGTGTTTAATTTTGCCATCTCAACCCCTCAGCTTGTCATGAGTAGCCCCTTCACTCTGAGGCAGAAGATGGCCTCCTTCCGCAGCCTGATGGATGTTAAGGAAAGCGACGCCTGTGATCCGTTGCCAGTGCAGAACAACGACACTGGAGGATGCATCTTCACGCAAGATTATCTGTCTGGTAAGGCAGCCGCATCGCTGCAGGATTAATAGTTTCATTTCTCCATGTAGATCTATGCCGGGAAGATTTCTCTCTCATGTCTGGAGGCACAGTTTAAAGGCTACAGATTAATATGCTGCGTAGTATAAGCCTCAGTTGGACATTTCCAGCCAGTCATTTCTGCTGCTGTTTGGTCAGCAGCTTAAATGAGCCTCTTTCTCAGTTAGTAGAAGCTAAACTGAGTCTATCTGCTTCAAATGTGTCTTTATTCCGGTTTTTTAACGTCTTCTCTTTAACTTATCTTTAATCATGTGTCTTCAGGTCCCATTTGTTTTTTTCATGTTTATGTAATTTTCTCCTATTTGTTTATTTTTTGATTTGGTGTAGGAAAAGAAAACAACCCACCAACTTCACCCGCACCCGGCAAAAAGAGGGGGCTGGGCCCCCTGAAAGGCTGCAGCGTGGAGATTAGAGAGGACGATATCTCTGTCTGTCACTCTGGCTTGAAGGATCAGGAGGTACGCATGCTTTTTGCATTTACAGGACTAAAGTTTGTTTACAACCTATAGGGATCATTTTTAAATTACAAACGTTGCAAAATAAGTAAAGGAAACATAATATTTAGCTGAGCATTTGCCAGAGCTGCTATCAGAAAATCAAAAAGCTTTGTTTAAAAGCTCTGCTTGACTTTTTTCTCACATTTTTTTAATGCCACTTGATATAATGTCATTTTGGGAAGTTTGTTTCCTATTAAAACCAAAATTAACACTAAAGACTGATTTATACTCAGAAGCCAGTTTGTCTGCTTGTGTGTTGCTCTGGTGCATAACTCTGCTGCACCTCTCCAAAATTGTCGGTGACCGTAGACAGGAGGCCTCTGATTGGTCATATCTACATCCGCTCTACACTATGTGCATTTCCTGTTTGGTACCTTACTGGCTTGTTTTGTTTGTATGACCGCCATTGTGGATCCCCGCTCTTTTTCGCCCTCATGTCTCTCCGTTGTCGTGCAAACTTGCCCTCACTTCCTCCCCTCCTCGGCCGTATCTACACCTACAACTAGTTCGTGTTTGTCCCTCTTGCATCATGGCGTGAAATAACATAGCACAGACCACTCTTCAAATTTGAGCATGAATCAAAAATATCTGCGACACGTACTGCAACACTCTGCTGCGGGAGTATAACCAGCCCTTAAGCACCTGATCTGCAGATTCCAACGCAGGTGCAGTTTTGTTTTTTGTTTTTTATCTTTTTGGTACACGCAATAAGTGGACGTGTTGTGGTCATAATAAAAAAGTTCAATTCAGTTTATTTATATAGCGCCAAATTCACAACACATGTCATCTCAAGGCACTTTACAGTTCAACCAGATCATACAGTCAAATTGATACAAAGTTTTCTGTCTAAGTAAAACCAGTTGATTGCATTGACTCATTGACTCAAATACAATCAAAAGTGAGAGTCAAAGCAGTCTAATTGGAGGTTATAATGATAATTATTGAAAAAAAATAAAGATACTAAATAATGAACAGTGCGCCTTACATGGGTAGTCCAAAGGACTCATATTAAAGTTATTAAATCGAGGTAGAACAAAAATCCCTGTTGTGACGAGTATGAGATGTTTTGTTTTCTCTGCTTTGTGCATTAAAATCCTGGTATTGAATTAATGCTGTCCCGAGGAGATATTGATATATATTCCTTTTATATCTCTGATGTGAGAAAACTCATAGAAGCAGTTAGACTTGCACTGGTCAGTCGACGTTGCTTGAAAATCGGCTGATAATTGGCCAAAAAATGAATATTGGAATATATCTGCTTTCTAATCTTTCTCTGTCTCCAATATTAGAAAATTATTTTCTTCTATCTGCTTTAGTTTACAGTTAATTAAACTCTTTGGTGAAGAAGAAATGGATCAATTTTTCTTATGCCTGATGTTTAATATTTTTCCCCATTTTGAGAAATGATGGCTGCTGTATTTGTTTGTATCAGGGCAGCCCTTTATGAAGCACCCCTTGTTTCATTCCAGGGTGTGTTTAAAACTTTGGGCTAAAATTAGTGATACGGGCATAAATGCTTCATTATGAGGTTTTATGGTACTTTTTATGGTTATGATCGAACCGATGGAAAGTAGCCTACTTAAAAATCTATTACCTTTTTTTTTTTTTTTTTTTTTTTTTTGCTGTAGCTGCAGCACCAAAAACGAACATAAAGGTTGTTAGAAAAAAAAAAACCTTACTGAGTAATTAACGTTTTGGTGAAATGCTAACCTGACTGTTCACAAAAACTGCATTTAATTACTAAAGATTTTTAGAGATATTTATGTTTGGTGATGTTTTCATTGAACAGATGTGTTTTTTAAGTTGCAACTTGTTTGTTTCTGAGGTTTATCAATATCTGTTGAGTTTAATCACTGTCACCATAAATCTAAATGCGTAAGAAAAGCAGCAGTGGAATTAGGGACCTGTTTGGGTTTTTTTACTCCCAAGATGATGTGTTTTTTTCCACCTTTGTTCTTCTTGCTGCTGTCTTCCTCCTTTTTTACAGCTTCCTTTCAGTCAGTCAACCTGCATGGACTTTTACCCTGTAGGGAACAAATCTGGTGGTGAAGGTCAAATCCTTAGATTGCTTCACTCTGCTGGGTGGGATTCAAAGTCGGACTGAGGGCCACATGCAGCCGTTTCCCAGCTCTAACCCAGTTGTAATTATCCTGGATGTCAAATCATCCAAAGTGTAGGAAGTTAATGGTAAAAAGATAAGTATAACTTAAAGCGAGACACTTCAGTAAACTCTGTGTTTGAAGGTCTCATCCCACAGGGTTAGGTATCAGAAAGGAGGAAAGCACTTATTAAACATGATTTAGCTTCAGCTACTCAGCAGGTGTCACTACAGAGACCTTTATAGTGCTACTTGACTGTAGAGCTGGGTTTAATAGAATATGATCAAGTGCTGTCTTTTTTAAAGTGCTCAAATGTGAAGTCCCACTGGGAACTAGAAAGAGAGCTCCATATTTAGAAGTAGTGGCCTGTCAGCTCAGTGGCTCTGAGTGGATTTTTCCTCTCCTGCCTTCTTGCTCCTGCTTTAATCTAAGATGAAAAGGTCTAAGTGTTGGGTTCATTTCTACGGCCACTTTGGAGCTGGATGTCTAGTTTGGGGCCACCGCTCCCACCAGCTCTATGAGGACTTGCTCTGTATTCAGGTTTCCAGGCTGTGGATATTTTGCCGATATGAGACTTTTCACAGCATGTCTGCCGTTCGACTGCAGGATCAAGGTCTGTTAGCTGTTGCTCTGCTTGTGAGGGTCAGGAAACCATGATTCCCAAATTTAGCCAAGATTAAAGGAATAGTACACCCAAAACATGATTAGCCTTCATTTTCTACTCACCCCCATGCTGAACAACACTCTGGAGTACTTTTTTGATATCTCAAATGCATCTGGAGATCTGGGAGGCTTCTTGCTGTCTGCTGACATTCAAATAATGGAGGTCTATGGTGCCCGAGGCAGAAAGGTCCATAAAAGTCCACAAAAAACGTGTCAATATTCCTCCATACTGCTCGTCCAATGTATTCCAAGTGTCCTGAGTGGGTAGCATCCAGAATTTACTTGAAACGAAGTCATTTAGAATGTTTTTAGAGCATAAACAGTAGTGTATAGGATTTCCTGAAAGCGCGCTCACGACGCTACGGAAGCCGGCAGACCAAACCAGCGCATTCAGCTCGGCAAAGAACTCATGCTCTTCCTCAACACTGAAGTCCTCAGATATTTTTCTTTCGTTGTTTCTTTCTTTGCACAGGTAAACAGCACATTTCTTCTTCTACGCTTGCATTATTGGAAGAGCAGACGCTGAATGCGCACTTTCATCTGGTTTGATCTGCCGGCTTCCGTAGCGTCGTGAGCGCGCTTTCAGGAAATCCTATACACTACTGTTTATGCTCTAAAAACATTCTAAATGACTTCGTTTCGAGTAAATTCTGGATGCTACCCACTCAGGACACTTGGATTACATTGGACGAGCAGTATGGAGGAATATTGACACGTTTTTTGTGGACTTTTATGGACCTTTCTGTCTCGGTCACCATAGACCTCCATTATTTGAATGTCAGCAGACAGCAAGAAGCCTCCCAGATCTCCAGATGCATTTGAGATATCAAAAAAGTACTCCAGGGTGTTGTTCAGCATGGGGGTGAGTAGAAAATGAAGGCTAATCATGTTTTGGGTGTACTATTCCTTTAAATATGCATCTCTAAGGATTCAGCAGATTCACTGAGGAAACTCTCAGGTTTTTAATAGGCAGGAATCCGCCAATCAGGTCAATCTGACCTGATGCCTTTCTGATCAGTTGTTTGGATTAATAAGTTACACATAAAGCTATATTTAATTTGATCAGTTTTTTGGGGATTTTTTTTATACTTTGTTTTTTTTTTTTTTAGAAAGAGCATTTAGAAAATGACCAAATACTAAGGTGAGCCACCATTAGCAGCCTTTGGAAGCCACAGAGAGGAACCAATGTTCCAAACTTCTTGTTAGAAGTAGATCATCTGAAGTAGGAGGAGAAATATTAGTAAAATTGGTCCATGTAATAAAGACCCCAAATATCCAAGACACTTTTTCTGCAGCAATCTTCCACTGAGGAGATATTTATAAGATGAACCTAAATTTAGGAAACAGTTGGTTGTAGTTTTGTTGCTTAAGCTAAAGTTGCTCTTACTTTGGACACTAAAACAGTTGAAATGCAGTGAAATACTAACCAGGCCTTTCCATAAATCATTTGAATCTTTGGAGGGATTATTGACCTTGACAAAAAAAAAAAATCTTTGCTTCAATCAAACCTGTCTGACATCATGAAGTAGGCAACATAATCCATAAAGCAAGGCTTCCCGCACTGATGTAAAGGAACTAAATAAACATGGCAGACAGTTTGTGGTTCTGAATCACTTGGAAACTCTTAACTTGGGTCAGTGGTAGATGGTGGACACTGGTTCTGTAAAATGACAGTTTGACTGTTTCAGAACCAATAATGCTGCCAATTGTAAAGGTCCACACAAATGTGATTATTTATCCCAATGAGCTCCTATTTCATTAGATACTCTGATATCACCACCTTATTTTTTACCACTGCTTTAACAACCAGAGGCGTTCATCTGCTCCAACAGCTAGAAAACTGGTATTAAATGCAGCTTTAATTAAAAAAATGTACAAAATAAGGAGACATTAAAGACCAATAGTGTTTATTTTAAAATAACAATAAAATGGGAGTACCGATATCGATACCGATGTTAAAGCTGGACAAAAATAAGTAGTCATTGAAAATAGCAGTTTTGTTATCCATTTCTGACACTTTGAAAAATAATATACTCAAATATATTTTCATTTGCTGATATCAAATTGATTTTTAAAAACGCGGTATCGATCTATTTTACTTTCAAAATCTCGTGAAATTTCATTGTTCTGTTACAAACTCGTGATATTTTACTAATTCTTGTGAGATTTTGTTAGTAAAATAGATCGATACCGCGTCAATATATCAACATATAAAAATATGACAAAATTTCGTGAATTTTCGGGGGATTTCGTAGCATAACGATGAAATATAGCAATATTTCATTAGTAAAATAGATTGATATGGTGTTTTTAAATGGCAATATATCAGCATATGAAGATATTGTGATATTTTAATGTATCAATATTTTTTCCCTCGTCTTTAGAAGTTTTTAAGTTTGTAAAAAATAAGTTTTTGAGGAAGAAGTAGTATTTTTATCTTTTTTTTATTTTTAGACTTTAGAAACTCAGAAGCTGATCAAATATCGGGTTAAATATCGGTGGGGTGGCCGATGTCCGATATTCAGTTTTAAGGCCGATACCGATAGGGGGCCGATTATATCGTGCATCCGTTATATATATATATATATATATATATATATATATATATATATATACATACACATATATATATATATAAATATATATATATATATATATATATATATATATATATATATATATATATATATATATATATATATATATATATATATAATCTCAAAAAATGTCCTTTTTCTCTCTTATATTTGTTTCATCAAAGGGTAAACTAAGCTTGAACACAATGTTTAGATTGGCTGTTGTTCCCTCCCAGCTCCTGTATCAGACATTATCCATAAATGATTAAAGGGTCACGTTTTAGTTTCTATCAAAAACTAAAATCACATAGATTTTTTTTCCGTCGCATCTTTGCCTGATATGAAAAAACATTTTATTTCAAAAAAGGTTCCAGTATGGCAGTGCATCTTTTGAGCGTTTCCTTTCAAATCCAACCCAGCTTCCCTCAGTTTCTCACTCATTCTCCTCTAGCAGGAGGCTCCCTGTAAACACCAAAGCCCTGACCGACCTCCCTCTGATGGCCCTTCAGCTGCTTCGCCGGCCCAGCAGTCACATCTCCCCCACATCCCATCTCTCCCTTCTGCGTTGGAGATGAAACCCACAGGTAAACAGCTGTGGGGGGGCTCGCCTTTGATCCTGGCTTAGTCCAGTCTTTGAGGTTTGTTGCTGTGCTGGACCATTTTTCTAGGTGTAGCCAAGTCTGCAGGGCTCCATTGTGACGTACTTATGTGCCTCTTAAACTGCATCTGAAGTGTTTGCTGATTTTCAAAACTGAAAAAATACTTTCTTTTGCATTTTCTTGTTTCCTACACAGTAATAGTAAGCATAAGATGGAAAATGTAGCTATTCTTCTGCTTTAATACAAACATGCTCATGCTTCATACTTCGTTTCCTCTTAATTTAATATCTACTGCAGCATGTTTGTGATTGAAGGTTTTTGCTCCTTGGTTCCCAGTGGATGGGGACAGAACGCCTGCAGGGAAGAAGAAGAAGCAGGTGCGCTTTGGGGTTCCTTTATCTCCTGAGTTCTTTGATAAGAACTTGCCCCCAAGCACTCCATTACAAAAGGGGGGCACTCCAGCTCGGGCCGCCACTCCCGGTGGGGGCTTGGAGCTGCGCTCTGTGCTGAAGACGCCTCAGAGGAGCGAATCAGAAACACAGCAGAATCAGCCGGAGCCTCTCTGCCCCGCTGGGTTTGGTGCCTCCCCAACATTCGCAATGCCTCACAGACGCAGACCGTCCAATGAGGGGGATGACTGGGAGGATGGAAAGGTAGACAACACAGAGTAATGATTTCTGAAGTGGAAATTTAATATTTACATTTAGGACTAAAAGCGCCTTTTAATTCTTTCCTCCTAGATTGTTTATCCGTCGATGGAGGAGATAGACTCTGCCGTGTTGAGTGATGCAGGTTGATTCAAACATTAATAATCATACGATAAGATATTATGAGTGTAATAAAATCCTAACTTGTTTCTATTCATTTTACAGAGTGTTATTTTGATGCTCAGCCTTTAAATCTAAACATGGCTTTCCATGAGGAATCTCTCTCTCAGACTCTGAACGGTAAACTGATCTCCACAATATTTACTATAACTATAACATCAGAGAGGAGCAGGATGGTTGGATGCTGTTTCTCTTTATTAGCTTAAAGGTGGATGCTTTAAACAACACTAGTTTTTATCATCATATCTCTATATCTTTAGGAGGCATGCATTCATTTATTTTAAGCTAAGTTTTAATTTAATTCTTCTAAAATGAATACATAAAGAGTCAGGGGAATGTTTTGATTTATTGCAGATAAAATACTGAAGAATTTTTCACCTCCATCTGTTCTACATATATTAGCAGTCTGATGTCCTTTGAGACATCTATGGTCCCCCTGTAATGGTCCGTGCAATTAGATTTATTATTAACTGTAGCTGAAGGCCAGTTATCTGGAGCTCGTTATTTCAGTGGATTGATTTCTCTTTTTTTGGGGGATGGGGTGGTTGTTACCTCAAAAGGCGACTCCGAACCAACAGGAACCCCTCAGATGGACGCCATGGAAGGGCGTGAATGTGTGGCAGAGGACAAACCGCCTGAGGGAGATGCTGGAAGTCAGACTCTGACCCAATCAAAGAGCAGAAGAAAAAAGGTCTGATTCTGTTCAAACTTGATTAAATCCTGAATCATTTTCCTGATAAAGTATTTATATTAAGCAGCCTGGGTGAACTAATTGTGCTTATTTGAATTTTAATTGTTTAATCCAGCAGGAGCTTCTAAGAAATCCTAATTTAAAAAGCCTCCTAATGTAGTTCAGTTTCTGCTGTAAAGCCTGTTCCATCCCACTGGTCCGTCATACGCAACAATCAATCAGCCACAGGTCAGAATCAGACATTTTCCTCTTTCAGCGATGATCAGAGATCAGCAGCTGAGAAAATAGAGAAAAATGTCACATCCTGTCTATTTAATGCACCATCATTGAAGCATGAGACTCATTTACACTTTGAGTGTGATAAAACGTGAAAGTTTTATAGATAAATACTTTGAGGTTGTTCTGGTGATTATTTCTGTTTTGTTGAAAATTAACCGGATATCAGTGTCTTCAAGAAAAGTGCTGATCAGACTTTTTAGGAAGGAGCAGCACATCTCTTATTAAAAGGTTTTCATTGATTTGCTTTCTGGAGAAAATAGAGCCTGTTGTGATTTATCCTTCTTTTCTGGTTAATCCTATTTTACAGCATATTTTGATTTGTCTAAATCTGTGAATTTGTCTCCTATAGAAAGAAGAGGATTCTGACAGTGAGCTTCGGTCGCGGCCCGACAGCAGAAAGAGAAAGGTCTGCTGTTAGGAGAAACGCTTTCTGCTTCGTCTCGCTTGTAGAAATGTCCAGTTGCCAGATGAGATCTACTTTTTAATAATTCAGGGTTCATAACCGCACTCCTTTTTAATCTGTTTAATTCCTCTAAATCTGAACCCAATCACACACTAAATGTGGAAGAGTGGCAGAAACACAGCCCATATGATGTATGTATGATGTATCCTCAGGCCAACTGTCTGTTCGCCGAGCAGCTAGAGGACAGCGAACCTGTGAAGAGGTCGGCACGATCTGCTGCCAAGGCGGCCTGCAGGAAGATGAAGGTGGGTCAGCCATGTCTGCTTGTTTCATTTTTCTTCACCAAGGGTTTTGCCAGTTACTGACTCCAACTGGAGTTTAAGAGAAATAGGAATGTCTGTATCTTATAACCACGTATTTCACTCACCTGACGGGATCCTTTGCTGCGCAGCTGTCGTGTTCCCAATGCTCTGTAATTTTTACAGTACAAGCTGTAAAGCTGCATTGTTTATAGGAGGGTGAAACTGCTGAACCAGAACTTATCTGCATCGATCTGTCAGAATGAGTCCTAACTAGGGATACAAATTATTAAATAATGAATTAATCTAAAGGTGGCTGAACTCATCCATCAAATAATGATTAGTTAGTTATTGGCATCAGATGTAGGAGTTTTGACCTCTATTCATAGGGTTGACGGTTCAGCTCCTGCTTTCAGTGTCGTCGTGTCCCTGGGCAAGATATTGTTTACTGATGGTGGTCAGAGCATCAGTTACCATTTAAGTGATAAGCAGCCATTTTCTCTCATCATAAGACCTTTCATTAACTTGATGTCTACATTTTTGAATTATATTTGAATAGTTTATTGTGGCAGCTGTATCAAAGCTGGCTCAATAAACGAAAACATGTTTTCTTACACTTTAATAAACAGAAACCTATTATTGGGTGACTGAGTAAAAAAAAAAAAAAAAACCCTTTTCACAAATTCCAAAAATTTTAAAAGACAATCCACTTGACTTTGTTTCAAAGTTTGAAGATGTTTCGCTTCTCATCCAGGAAGCTTTTTCAATTCAAAATGTCAGAAATGGCGTTGAATTTGCGGCTTTATAGAGTAGACCAAAAAAACAAAACCTTGTTTTGGCTTCATGAAATGCATTAAAAAAAACGAAGCCTAGCATGCTTAGGGCCAACAAGTGTTTTTCTATCATGCAGAAATGTTTTGCATGACGCCGTCCACTTTTCTATCATGGCCTCCTTCGGAGCATAGGAAGATTACGCTACTCCGCAATGCAGGACGGCTAAGTGGGCGCCATTCAGGGAGTTTATCCACTGGTTATATTTACAAACAACCGCGTAAAGTTCCTTCCATCTGCATTAATCAGTGTAAATTATTCTTTTCTGGACTCTGGATCGATTCTTGTTTCTGTGCTAGCATGCCTCCACTGCAGCATTACTTCTTTTGAAAAAACAAGGAGGCCACATTTAAAAAATGTAAATATAAAAAATTTAAATACTATTATATATTAATATATCATATTAAATATAAATATAGAAAAAAGGAAAAAGTGGGCCCCCAAGTGGACAACTATAAACATTAAAATAAATTCCTTAACTGGACGTCATCGGTTAATGGATTGGAACCAATTTGAATCTAATAAACCATTAATCCATAGTAACTCATGAGTCAATGATTGATTTACATCTCTACTCATTACCTTTCACTTTGCCTGGTGACTCCAGGCAGATCTTGGTGGATAAAGTTCCGTCTGTGGTAAGATCTAAAACCATTCTAAACCGTTTTGTTGCACAACCTGTAGATCTTAGTTACTGTGGTCCTTTATGAAATAGTTTTTATGCCCAGCAGCGTGCTTTGCATTTCCTAACCTGTTATTATGTCTCTGTAAACCCAACCAACAATTACTGTTCAAAAGACGCATCTTTTAATGCATATCATCAACAAAAACTAGAGATATGAAAGTGAAAATTACTGTACATTATTGAATAGAGCTTAAAACATCGGTGACATTTTCCAGCTAATTAGAATTTCTATATCTACTGCCTTTATAAATGCCAAACTCTACAGTCCGCCTTCTCTTTGCAGGAATGGAAGCGTTTTGTTTGGAGGTGGAATAACTTTGTCTATTCTTAAAGGAGTCATACTCTGGTGTTGTACTTATAAAACCAATCTGAAGTTATCTTTCATTTTAACGCGGTATAAAATAGAAGATAATTCTGACCCCTTTTCATACCCTTTTTTCTTTGTTCACAGTAGAATTTAGCTTCTGTTTATGATGTGGCTGTAGCATTAGCAACTTTATCAGTTTGCTTTGTTTACCATTGTTTCCTGGTCTTTTCCGCAAATAGAATAAATGTTACCCGAGCCTGATTGTTGGACAACTCCCCCATTTTAAAACCAGGAGTTATAACTGAAGCCAAATCACCACCCCTCATGTTTGAACATGATAGCTTTTTATTTTATTGTCTCCCAGCAAGTATTTCAGTTTATCTTCACATTCAAATGGATGAAAATCCTTACAGAGAAACTCCAAATTTAAAACATGAAAGTTTTCTTAAAGGACAACATATGAGAAGAGCTGTTGTCTCTGTTGAAGTCGCGTCCCTCAACTGGCCTGTGGCAGTGGAAGGCAAGGCAAGGCAAATTTATTTGTATAGCACAATTCAATACAAAGACAATGCAAAGTGCTTTACATGATTAAAATATAGGAAAGTAAAACACTATCAAAGCAAGTAGGAAAAAAAAAGAAAAACAAATGCAGACTCCAACAATGACGTCTTTACCAACTTCTGTCAACCCTGTTGACTTTATAGGTCCCGGACCTATTTATTTCAAACACAACGTTGTTTTTTCAAACCACAAGATCCCTGACCTTGACAATATGATACCCACAAGATCCCTCCCTGATCTTGACACTGTGGCAGTGAAACACTGTGGCAGTGGAACACTGGCAGTGGAACACTGTGGCAGTGGAACACTGTGGCAGTGGAACACTGTGGCAGTGGATCACTGTGGCAGTGGAACACTGTGGCAGTGGATCACTGGCAGTGGAACACTGTGGCAGTGGAACACTGGCAGTGGATCACTGTGGCAGTGAAACACTGTGGCAGTGGAACACTGTGGCAGTGGAACACTGGCAGTGGAACACTGTGGCAGTGGATCACTGTGACAGTGGATCACTGTGACAGTGGAACACTGGCAGTGGATCACTGTGGCAGTGAAACACTGTGGCAGTGGATCACTGTGGCAGTGGAACACTGTGGCAGTGGAACACTGTGGCAGTGGATCACTGTGGCAGTGGAACACTGTGGCAGTGGATCACTGTGGCAGTGGAACACTGGCAGTGGATCACTGTGGCAGTGGATCACTGTGGCAGTGGAACACTGTGGCAGTGGATCACTGTGGCAGTGGATCACTGTGGCAGTGGAACACTGTGGCAGTGGAACACTGTGGCAGTGGATCACTGGCAGTGGAACACTGTGGCAGTGGAACACTGTGGCAGTGGAACACTGTGGCAGTGGATCACTGTGGCAGTGGATCACTGTGGCAGTTGAACACTGTGGCAGTTGAACACTGTGGCAGTTGAACACTGTGGCAGTTGAACACTGTGGCAGTTGAACACTGTGGCAGTTGAACACTGTGGCAGTGGATCACTGTGGCAGTGGAACACTGTGGCAGTTGAACACTGTGGCAGTGGAACACTGGCAGTGGAACACTGTGGCAGTGGAACACTGGCAGTGGAACACTGTGGCAGTGGAACACTGTGGCAGTGGATCACTGTGGCAGTGGAACACTGTGGCAGTGGAACACTGTGGCAGTGGAACACTGTGGCAGTGGATCACTGTGGCAGTGGAACACTGTGGCAGTGGATCACTGTGGCAGTGGATCACTGTGGCAGTGGAACACTGTGGCAGTGTATCACTGGCAGTGGAACACTGTGGCAGTGGATCACTGTGGCAGTGGATCACTGTGGCAGTGGAACACTGTGGCAGTGGATCACTGTGGCAGTGGATCACTGTGGCAGTGGATCACTGTGGCAGTGGATCACTGTGGCAGTGGAACACTGTGGCAGTGGAACACTGTGGCAGTGGAACACTGTGGCAGTGGATCACTGTGGCAGTGGAACACTGGCAGTGGATCACTGTGGCAGTGGAACACTGGCAGTGGATCACTGTGGCAGTGGATCACTGTGGCAGTGGAACACTGTGGCAGTGGATCACTGTGGCAGTGGATCACTGTGGCAGTGGAACACTGTGGCAGTGGATCACTGGCAGTGGAACACTGTGGCAGTGGAACACTGTGGCAGTGGATCACTGTGGCACTGGAACACTGGCAGTGGAACACTGTGGCAGTGGATCACTGTGGCAGTGGATCACTGTGGCAGTGGAACACTGTGGCAGTGGAACACTGTGGCAGTGGATCACTGTGGCAGTTGAACACTGTGGCAGTGGATCACTGTGGCAGTGGATCACTGTGGCAGTGGATCACTGTGGCAGTGGAACACTGTGGCAGTGGAACACTGTGGCAGTGGATCACTGTGGCAGTGGATCACTGTGGCAGTTGAACACTGTGGCAGTTGAACACTGTGGCAGTGGATCACTGTGGCAGTGGAACACTGTGGCAGTTGAACACTGTGGCAGTGGAACACTGGCAGTGGAACACTGTGGCAGTGGAACACTGGCAGTGGAACACTGTGGCAGTGGAACACTGTGGCAGTGGATCACTGTGGCAGTGGAACACTGTGGCAGTGGAACACTGTGGCAGTGGATCACTGTGGCAGTGGAACACTGTGGCAGTGGATCACTGTGGCAGTGGAACACTGTGGCAGTGGATCACTGTGGCAGTGGATCACTGTGGCAGTGGAACACTGTGGCAGTGTATCACTGGCAGTGGAACACTGTGGCAGTGGATCACTGTGGCAGTGGATCACTGTGGCAGTGGAACACTGTGGCAGTGGATCACTGTGGCAGTGGATCACTGTGGCAGTGGATCACTGTGGCAGTGGATCACTGTGGCAGTGGATCACTGTGGCAGTGGATCACTGTGGCAGTGGATCACTGTGGCAGTGGAACACTGTGGCAGTGTATCACTGGCAGTGGAACACTGGCAGTGGATCACTGTGGCAGTTGAACACTGTGGCAGTGGAACACTGTGGCAGTGGATCACTGGCAGTGGATCACTGTGGCAGTGGAACACTGTGGCAGTGGATCACTGGCAGTGGATCACTGTGGCAGTGGAACACTGTGGCAGTGGATCACTGGCAGTGGATCACTGTGGCAGTGGAACACTGGCAGTGGATCACTGTGGCAGTGGAACACTGTGGCAGTGGAACACTGTGGCAGTTGAACACTGGCAGTGGATCACTGTGGCAGTTGAACACTGTGGCAGTGGATCACTGTGGCAGTTGAACACTGGCAGTGGATCACTGTGGCAGTGGAACACTGTGGCAGTGGAACACTGTGGCAGTTGAACACTGGCAGTGGATCACTGTGGCAGTTGAACACTGTGGCAGTGGATCACTGTGGCAGTTGAACACTGTGGCAGTGGAACACTGTGGCAGTGGAACACTGGCAGTGGAACACTGTGGCAGTGGAACACTGTGGCAGTGGAACACTGGCAGTGGATCACTGTGGCAGTGGATCACTGTGGCAGTGGAACACTGTGGCAGTGGAACACTGTGGCAGTGGAACACTGTGGCAGTGGAACACTGGCAGTGGAACACTGTGGCAGTGGAACACTGTGGCAGTGGAACACTGTGGCAGTGGAACACTGGCAGTGGAACACTGTGGCAGTGGAACACTGTGGCAGTGGAACACTGTGGCAGTGGATCACTGTGGCAGTGGAACACTGTGGCAGTGGAACACTGGCAGTGGAACACTGTGGCAGTGGAACACTGTGGCAGTGGATCACTGTGGCAGTGGAACACTGTGGCAGTGGAACACTGTGGCAGTGGAACACTGTGGCAGTGGAACACTGTGGCAGTGGAACACTGGCTTCCATTCCAGGTGAAATGATCATTTCTTTATACTTTCAGCTGAGTAGAAAATATACCTGCTATCAACTATGGGGCATAACTTTAGATAGAATATAAATTGATACATTTAGTGCCTCTTGCAGCCACTAAGAAGAATCGCTAAAATGTCCTTCAATACTTTCCTTCCTAATTAAAGTTTTTGTTGAGAAGCTTGCTCTAAATGTTTTATAAGTAATGACAGATGTAGGATGAACTTCTGCTCATTAAAGCGCTGCTGTGTGAAAATGACTCAAAGTTTAAACTTTGTTTAAACACTGAGTTGTTCTCAGCTGTTGTTTCCTGTGTTAGTATTTCTGTGTAGCTTTAGTGTTTCGTTCTTGCTTCTTTCTAACTTTGCTTTAGAAACCAACTAAGGATTTAATAAGGAGGTTAAACGCAGAACAAAGTGAGATATTAGTTTATCTATCAGCTTCTATCTTATAGCAGTGATACTGGATGTTATTTCTAGCGCATGTCAACAGGTGCTAACTTCCTTTTTACATCTAGATGAACAAATATGGGCTTTCATGTTGATGCTACTTTGATCTGACGTCACTGCCTTACAGACTCATTTCTTCATGCTTAAGCTAATGTGGTTCTAAAAGATAAAGTGGAAGCTAATCAAGGTCCTGCCCCGATTTGCTTCAGGTCTGTGCGAATGGAACATGGCAGTATAATTTCACTTTCTTCAGCTAAGTGTTTAATATCTTTGTAATTCTTTAAGGTGGTTTAAAAGTGATCAATGTTTATTTGGGACTCTTTAATGCATGACTTACAAACGCATCATTAAGGGGTTTCCATTCATCCATAGGCAGCAAAAATACATTTCGCCACGTCTGCAGTTAGAGGCTTGTAGATGTTGGCAAATTAACATTTCTCCATATTGAATTCATGGGACTTAAAACATGCAAAGTTTGGTCAATATTGGCGTTTTGTTTTCTATGGTGAACAGCATATGTTGCTGCTTCCTCCCTCTGCTACCCGTTCTTCATATTTATGTGTTTTAATTTCATAATAAATTTTCTTTCATCTCAGTGGGGAATGAAGAAGCAACATTTGCTTCACAAATTGGCCCAAGAAATATTCCTAAATGACTAAAACCATGTCACAGAAAGGAACAGAAAAGCAAAGTTTCATTTCAAAGTACAAAATATCTGAACTTTATTTCACTTTTTTTTTAAGGTGAGCTCTTTCAGGAGGCAAATCTAGGTTTCACACCATTTTTTTGAATGGCCAGTAGGTGGCAGTGTTTGTAGGTTCATTCTGGAGGCCACTGATTGAGCTCTGAACAAGAAAATGTATTAAAAGTAGAAGTGGACGTTTGATCCTTAATCTGAATAAGTCGATTCCACAATGACCTTTTTGTTCGAACATTTCTGTACAGGGGGCCTCCACAGCAGCCCGCAGCTGGAGTAAGGATGTAGATCGCTCTCTGTACGGCTCGCGTGCGTACGCCTCCAAGAACCCGGCGCTGAGCCCCATCACAGAGCGGCGGTCCTTCATCGGTCCGTCTCCATCCTCAGAGCAGACTCCTGATGGCTCCACAGGTAACATTTAAAGGCTGAACACGTCATTAGCTACTATTACTGAAGAGAAAGCAGGGAGAAATTCTCTTTTTGTCCTTAAAGTTACATTTATTTGCTGAAAAGTCAAAAGTTTTAAAGAGCAGTTTGAAAATCGGTGATACTAAAATCATTTTGTTTTTTCCATCTTATCAGGGTGTGATATCTTTGAGGTGGCAAGTGGTGCTCTTAACAGCGAGGATTTTGCAGAGGCTGTGGAGGTTTCCTCATATGATGATGTCAGACCTCCCTCCTGCAGTCCAGGGACGGACAGCAGGCGGCCAAGGTCAGCAGACAGGAGAGGACGGAAGAAAAAGGAGCAGATTGATGTCGGACTGTGCAGGGCTGACCCTGAAGAACCCTCTGAGATCCTCTGCACCGACTCAAACACATATAATGTAGGTATGCTCACTTTAGACGAAGAATCCATCCCAGAGTCAGAACAAAGACAAGGCAAACAGAGGAGAAGGAGCACAGTCCCTCTGGAACCAGAGCATAAAGAGGAAGGGACTGGAGAGATGGAGCAAGGAGACGCCCGGTCAAGCTCTGGCCAGCAGGGGGAGGTAGAGGGGCCCAATGTGGACCTCGCCCCTTGGCAAGCGGATTTTAATTTTGAGGATGTTTTTAAATCTGTCAACCCCAGAAGGGAGCGCTCGGTTCGCCGCAGTCTGAGGAACCGGGCGAACTCGGAGAACAGCAGCGTGGGCGGCGGGCTTGCCTGGGTCCCTCACACCTCCCCTGACTCTGTTAGAGAGACTCGTAGAAGAACCCGCCAAAGACGCCTCAGTGCCGCTCTGCTTCCCCCCGAGGAAACACGAGACTCCGCCTCCACTGAACTGAGCGAACAATGAAGAGAACTGATGATTCATTTTATTTCATTTCCACGTTGTTTCACTAAATTGAATCAATTCTCCTAAACAGAGAGATTTACTTTGCTTCAAATGAAAAACATTAACGATGTTGATCCTTGTGAGTTATTCCAGCTCAGTCCAGTTTCCCTCAAGTTTACCACTTCAGTCAATACGCTGAAAGCCCAATGATCTCTGCCGACCACCTCCTAATCAATATCCCCCACTCAGCTGGTAATCACAGTGCGCAACCCCCCCCCACTCTAAAGTCACTGGATCAAGCATCTTAAAATCGATCCCTCCTTCTGTGGATGGATGAAGATGGCTCATAAACGGCTCTTATTTTGCTTCTGGGTTTGTTCTGTTGACTGTTGATTTTTAAAGACTTTTTAGAATGAAATGTTGGTTTTCGTTCTCATCTTCTGGAGCCAAATGTGTTTTTAACAAGATAATTAGGATTCGTTTTAAATAGAAATAATCTTAAACGTTCCAAAAGCTCCTCTCTTCAGTTTGACCGTTTGTTTCAGTTCAAGTAAAGCTTTTTTTTTCTCTCTTAAGCCTCAGACCTCTTGCTCTTAAACTGAACAAACTGCTGAGTAAATTAGTGTTCGGATTTCCATTTTGAAACCAGCCAAATGATTTGAAAATGTATTGACCTGTGACCTCGCCGTCCACCGGTTATAGATTCAACTCGACTGCTCTCTGCTTCCCCAGTCCGTCTCTCCGAGAGGAACAGAGGAAGGAGAAACAAATTGAGTTTCAAATTCGGCTCGCATCGGAAAATTGGCTTCTGAGAATGATGCATGACTGTAATCTATCCATCACCGGGTAATTGACTACCTCCCTTTACATCAAGTCAGTCACTTGGCTGAAGGACGCCAGAGGTTTCTGGTTCCACTCTCTTCTTTACACCCACTAGAAGATGGATGGACGTAATCAGGAGCTTTTATATAGGGCTATGTGGCAACACTGCCATCTTGTGGAAACTTTGATGAGTTGCATGAAGGCGCTTCATCCGTCCATTTGAACAGTAAAATGAGGACTAAAAAAGTCACATTTGATTGTTGTTGAAAGTTAAATTGATTTAAAACTCATGCTGAATATTCTTCCTCATTTGACCTTTCAATTTTTCTTGATTTTTAATGTCTGAGTCATGACTGTTTCCCTCCTAACTGCACATTAAGCCTTTTTGAATTAAAAAGGCCTTTAGAAAAGCTTTACTAGTGTTTGGATGTAGAAGCAAAGTGCTGCACCGTCATACAAGTGGCTGTTTGGTGTGTTTATCTGAGAGCGCGGGAGAGAGCGTGGAATCCGCGTGAAGCCCCTCTCCCTGGCAGACCGGCATACTGAAGACGGCTTAACACAAGAACAATGGGGTCCTTTGACCAAAACGACGCCCCCAAGACATGTGGCCTCCTGTCACCTTGGCAACCCCCCATGGGATGAAGAGTGGGGTGACAGCTGGAGGGGAGGACTTACAAAAAAATGGAGTCTATTTCTTTCCCCTGAATCTCTCCTCTTTCTGCCTCCTCTCCCAGCCTTCCTGGCCCTCATGAATGTAGGTTACGTCTCACTTTACAACTTCATGGGGTTGACCTCGAGCGCTTGCCTCACCACCTGACCGGTTGAGGCAGAAAAATAAAAATAAAAGCCAACTATAAATCAGGCCTTTTATAGGCTCTGCTTGTCAGGAATAAGAGAGCTTTGACAAATTTGGGGCTGAGCCACTCTTAACAAACTGTCCGCTTGATTTTACGCCTCATATTAAACACGAGTTGGATGCTCCTCCAGATTTAGAGACTTTCAATCAGTTAATTAGTAACTGAACGGTATTAAGTTGTCCTGCTGCCTCAACCCTTTCTGTGCTTATTGCTGTGAGGCTCTATTATTGATGCTCAGAGGCGCGATCTTTGAGCTCAACACTGCTCTCCTATGGAGTGTAAGACAGCAGGAGGAGGGCAGCCAAACAAAGGCAGCCCAACAACAGGAGACTCTCCAGCTCCTCTCGTAGGTTTGCTGTCAGTGCTGGTACAGCTGCAACTGGTTTGAACCTGATTCAGACAACCGCAGCGCAGAACTCGGCCAGCAAAGAATATTATTACTTTTTCATGTGGTAGCTGTTTTTGAACATCACAACCAACACAGCTTCAACATCTTTGTTTCTAACAAATAAAACATGGAGAAGTGTTAACCTCTGAATTACCTCTGCTTCTCTTAAATCATGCCACTAGCATCCACCAGATGTGGGTAGAGGAACCCAAAAATTTACCCTTGTAAGAGCTGCACTATTTTAACACACTTTCACTAGTAAAAGAAAGTGGTCAGCCAAGAAAAGTAAAGAAGTGCTGGGTAAACTGGCTGCTCAAGTATTGAGGCAAGCTCATAGCATCTAATTTATTTAAAGTGATTTAAATTCAATTCAATTCAGTTTATTTATATAGCGCTAAATTCACAACACATGTCATCTCAAGGCACTTTACAGTTCAACCAGATCATACAGTCAAATTGATACAAAGTTTTCTATCTAAGGAAAACCAGTTGATTGCATTGACTCATTGACTCAAATACAATCCCCCACACTAAGCATGCTTGTAGCGACAGTGGAGAGGAAAAACTCCCTTTTAACAGGAAGAAACCTCCAGCAGAACCAGGCTCAGTGTGAGCGGCCATCTGCCGAGGCCGACTGGGGTTCAAGGAGACAGAAGCAGACATACAAAAAGCAGCTGTAAAAGGCGGCCCCCGTCCAGGAAACACACAGCCAGGCAGACAAGCTCCAAGGCAGCTCCCATGCCAGAGGACGAAGAGAGCACATCCACTCAGTCACGGTCAGAGAAACAGGACCACACTGGAAAACAGGCCGATCTCCAACATCTATTAACAAGGGTGTTGATAGAAGCAGCACAGCTGATGTTTTTTTTCCAGGATGACGTCACAGCCAAACAGGAACAGACGAGGCAAAGCTACTCTGAGGAAAAGCAGAGAGAGCAGAAGGTTAGAGATTGAACTAACAGATTCTGCAGAATAGGAGAACAGAGAGAGAATGAAGCAGAATGATGAAATGGGGGTCCCTATGTCCTCCAAAAGTCTAAGTCTTAAACACACATTTCCAATTTTTTTTTATTATAAAACTAATTTTTACAGTAACTGTTATGACGAGATGTATAACTTCCAGTGAAGATCCAGTGCTGTAAAGTCAATCCCACAATAGAGACATTAACTCTGGATTTAACCCATCCTCCTTGGGGAGCAGTGGGCTGTCACTGCAGCACCTAGGGAGCAATCAAGGGTAAAGGGTCTTGCTCAGAGTGGCAGTGGGTTTCGAACTCACAACCTCAGGATTCCTTTGCCCTAACCCAGGGGTCAAAGTTTTTCAGGCCAAGGACCCCCAAACTGATGGCGAGGTGGAGCGGGGACCCCCTAATTATATATATATTGTATGAAATTGTGTTTTATCAAACTGGTCCTAAAGACACTTGACAGATTATTGAAGTATTTCTGATTCCTGGTTAATGGGACAGGTGTTGTGAATGAAATGGTGCTCAGATTGAAAGAGCTCCTGTGTGCCACTAAATGTGTGCATTGATGACTGAAAGACATCTGCTAACCTGACTCCGCCAGATGGATTTGCTCCGCATAATGAATATAATATATAGATCACTAGTGTTATGAACTAAATTTACAGCTGGATATGTACCAAATATAGTATACAGGTGGATATTACTATAAAAAGGGTTTTAGAGTTATGTGAAATGCATTAGAAGATGTTCTTGCAGGGTCACCATGGAGCTTATCTTCTGTATTTGGAGGAGAGATCCATGCAGGTCACCAGTTTACCACAGACTAACAGAGACCTGAACCATCCAAGCACGCACACAATCACACCAAAGGGCTTTTTGGAGAATCCGATAAATCTATGCAATTTGAACAGTTTCTCAGGAAAAAACATTTCAACCTAGAAATCTGAACTTATTTAGGAGTGAGTGAGCGGACCCCCATAAACAAATCTCCAGTCGGCCATCTTTACCACATCAAACGTCCACCCAGACTGGAAGTTTATACACCTCTGTTTAAGAGAAACACCAGACACAGAGTTAAACCCTATTGCTCTCTGTTTTAAGACGTAGCAGCAAAATTCTTTTGAACCCGTTTTAAACAGAAGGTACAAACTAAGTGTTGTGAGGGAAAGGAACGTCAGAGAAGCATACCTCTGCTAATCACCACCACTGCCTGGACATGTCTGAACCAAGACAACAGAAGGAGCAGCACCTGTCTGAGCATTACCTCTCATGGAGAAATCCTTCACATCACCGCACAGATTTCTTCTCGCTGTGCTGCATGAGAATACTGATCTGTGAAAAATAAAATTAAAAACTGTTAAAGATTTATTCAATACACACAGGCTGATATGATTTCAGGTTCAGGCAAACCTCAGATTACCATGAAGAAACGTCTGAGAACATAATTGCATGCTGGCACAGAGGTGGATCTAAATGTTCTATAAAGAAAATCCTGCTTGTTTCAGTTTCACCGTCTAAACTAATCCCTCCTAAACTCCTCCCTTCCGTTATTGACACAAGCAGTACCTCCACATCCATGCTATACTTCTTTTTATTTGGTTGTATGACACATTTGTAACTTGGTTGTTTCTTTTCCATCGCATTTTTATGCTTAAAAAGCCAACTGATTGTAAAGCATAGAGAAAACAGGAGTGATTGGATGGAGAAGAAAAAGGCCCGAGTTTTACGCAGCAGTCAGTCAAAAATTGGAGACAGAGCAGAATCTTGTACATATTAGCCTAAAGTGATGTCACCCTATTGATGTTGTTTTTAAGACAAATGTTGTAGAGATGTGGGCTAGAAAATTCTGACAAAGTGTTTGGAGACTTTGTCCTTCATTTCTCACAAACTCAAAATGAGAAATAGTAAGCTAGGTTTCTTGAGTACTTTAAGACATTTACAGATTATTTTAGGGTAAAAACAAGTTTGTTTTAAACAAGGCAGCAATTTTTTTTTTTTTTAACAACGTGTTAGTCTCAGAGCTGTGGAGCTGAAAAATAAACCTGCTCAGTATCAGATCTCCAGAGTAAGAGGTGTAGTCTGCTGTGGCAACTTCTCTCTGATGGGTCCCAAGAGACACGATCCATGTTCAGCTCTAAGATTAGCCTTAAGCGCTCCAAGGCAGCTGCTCCTCTGCCTGAAAAGATGGTTATATAACAATACAAATATATAAAAATAATCAAAGTTAGATTTTTTTTAATATACTTATAAAATAATAACTAAAAGATCTGCCTCCCATTCTACTTTTAGAAATTCTAGGAACCACTAGTAAACCTCCAGATTGAGAGCGAAGTGCTCTGTTAGGAACGTACAAGACAATCAGATCTCTGATATAAGATGGAGCTTGGCCATTTAAGGCTTTATATGTGAGAAGGAGGATTTTACATTCTATTCTGGATTTAACAGGAAGCCAATGAAGAGAAGCCAGGAAAGGATAGCTATGATCTTTTTAATTTTCATCAGAACTCTGGCTGCAAGGATTTGCATCATCTGAAGGCTTTTAACAACAGATTGTGGACTTCCTGATTGTAAAGAATTACAATAGTCCAGCCAGATATTTCAGAGATGAAAGAAGGAAATTCTAGAAACCTCTTCAATATGGCAATTAAATGACAGTTCCTGTACAAGAATAACACCAAGTTTGTTTTTTAATGTTATCTGAGATCAATTTCATTCCATCCAAATGAAGTGACTCACTAATCAGCTTATTTTTCAAAGACCCTGGTCCAAATACCATAACTTCTTTTTGTCTGCATTCAGAAGCAGAAGGTTAAGAGTCATCCAGGTTTTCATGTTTTCAAGACATGCCTGTAGTCTATGTAATGGGTTAGTTTCATCTCTATTTATAGACAGATATAGCTAAGTATCATCTGCATTACAGTGGACATTGATCCCATGCTGTCTAATAATTCTACCAATTTGAAGCATAAACATAGTAAAGAAAATTGGTCCTAGCACTCATCCCTGTGGTACTCAACAGGTCACCCCATTAACATGAACAAACTGAAATCTGTCATATATATATATATATATATATATATAAAAGATTTAAACTGACCTAATGCAGTTCCCTTAATTCCCACAAAATAGTCAGGTCTTTTTAAAAGAATATTATGATCGACTGTATCTGAAGGCCATGAGAATATCATTAGTGACTCTCACCAGAGCAGTTTCAGCTCTAAAACCAGTTTAAAACTCGTCAAAAAGTAAATTTTGTTGTAAGTGGTCACACACTTAGCAACTGTTTTCTCAAGAATTTTAGATGAGAAAGGAGATTGGATATAGGTCTATAATTGATCAAGTCATCTGAGTCAAGAGACAGTTTCTTAAATAAAGGTTTTCTTACAACCACCTTAAAGGCCTGCGGTACATATCCTTGTAACAGGGAAAAGTTATACGTATTTAATTTGAGGTGGAAATCAGAGGGCATACTTGCTTAAGTAACTTGTTTGAAACTGAATCTAATATAGAAGTTGAAGGCTTGGATGAAAATAATAGTTTAGCTAACTCTGAAACTTTAACTCAATTGGAACAACCCAAACTTTATTTTCTATAGTTACCAATGCTGCCTCACCTTCCAGAGATAAACCCATCATATTTAGAGGGGTGCCAATGATCTTCTTTTTAATAGAATCAATCTTATTTCTAAACAATCCCATAAAATCGCTACTGCTAAGAGCAGGTGGAATGGACGGTTCAACAGATATATGGCTTTGTGTGAGTTTGGCAGTTCTAATAAAAAGAAATCTAGAATTATTTCTATTCTCTGTAATTAATGAAGATTAAATATTCTGCTCTTGCTTTATGAAGGGTCATTTTATACAGCAGTAGACTGTTTTTCCAAACTACCGTAGGTAGGATTCCTCTAGGCATGTTGAATGTCATTTTCTCTCCGATTTACTAGCATTTTGCTTCAAAGTGAACAGCTCTGCATTAAACCAGGGAGCCAACTTTCTATTTTTTATTTTTCAAAGAAGCCATATGTCTGAAGCAGTACATAGGGTACTAATAAACCCATCAACAAAATCAGAAATGTGTGAAGGGGAAGAAATTCAATGATTGCACTTTACAGTATTGTTTGATAATACTGTGGAGATAAATAGTGGAACAGATTTTTTAAAATGTATAATTTTCT